GTGTCTGCAGTGCCAGTGCTCGGTCCAACCTTTCGAATGACGGAGTCCCCGCCTCACCCCACAGCATGAATATTGAACCCCCTTTTCGTATTACTAATCGCAAGAGCTTGAGGGATCCAGAATTTCGGGAGTACTGGAGGCACTGCACGATCGAGGAGAAACCTTCCTGAATTCCCATACCCGGTGGGAAACGAATGTATCTGCGCGTGGGACATCGACCGAGCTGGCGAGCGCATTCCCCACCACCCTGAATTCCCCAGCTCATACACGTGCCACCTCGTTGCGGAACCAGGAATAATTATTCTGGAAACCGACTTCCCTTCCTACCACCGCATACTGCCCTTTCATTCACTGACCATCATCCCCTGGCGTGCCATCGCTCCATATTGGCCCCAACCCCCGTGTTCGGAGTGCTTGCAGGACCGTGAGTACCGAGCCTCTGGCTTCATCCGACGAACCCGATTGGAGGAAGAGCGACGAGCGCACGACCTTCAGTTATGGCCAGCTGCGTCAGACTCTGAGACTAGTAACACACGACGCCAGCAAGTGGTTGAACAGCGCGATAGCCATAGCATCCCGCCGGTGCACCAAGTCCGAGTCCGACCCAGGCGACGGAACCAACCGAGGTGGTAGCTCCACGCTCAGAGTTCAACCCGCACCTACCCTTTTACATCTCTACCCCTGAAACTTGCCACAGGAGATCTCAGTTCCGACCTGCTACTCCACCCCCCCCCCACTTTCCTGAAATCCTTGGCACACCCCCTTTTCGTTCTTCCAGGCCCACTCACACTCCGATCAGGAAGTCGCGCCGGGCGTGAGGTTGGGTGTCACACGCTCGGCCGTTTTTTGTGGCCAACATCAGTTTCCAGCCGCCGGGCAAGTGGGGTCCAGGCCTTAATCATAACTGCACATTTTGCTGACGATGAGCAGTTTCTCACCTCCCTTTCCTATTTGAGAGCTGGGCCTCCCCGCAAGTTGTTCCCACGAGTTCTTTTATGACCAATCGACCGCCACAACCTTTCTGACCCGGGGCCAAGTCCCACTAGCAGCGTTGACTTTCCCCAATGCCCGAATCTGATGGTGTTTGTGAAGATGTGCAGAAATCGCGTTGAGTTTCCACACATCGCCACAAACACGTCCAGATTCCGGCGTTGAGGAAACTCAGCGATGCTAGTGGGACTTGGCCCCCGAGAACATACAGAAAATGTAAACAGAAACAAAACAAAAAAAAAAAAAGCACAATAGAAAACCCTAGAGCCTATCTCAGTGGGTACACCCACGAACTGTTGAAATACAGACCCAAGTTCGAATCCAGATGATGATGAAACTTGACGAGTACAACCGAATATTTGTGAATTGCCCGGGGCCGGTCAGCTCAATGATGATATCTCAAGGCTGTTGCCCTTTGAGAAATAAGAAAAAAAAAAAAAAAACCGTTACAACAACAACAACAACGAAAAACAAAAACAAAAAAAGACATGCAATCTTTCATTCAAACATTGAATTCCATCTGTTCCAGATTGTGATCATAAAGGACCCCCAAGACCCATATTATGAAGGACCAGGTCATGCAGTGTGTGACCGCTGCTGGGCCACATTCATTAGGGCACAAGAAGAGTTTTTTTTTTTTTTTTTTTTTTTTTTTTTT